ATCCTCACTAGCTCTCCCCCAAAGTTCACCAAGAGAGATCTCAGAACTGGGAGGCCATTGCTTTGCAGTGGTACCAAAGAGGAAAAAAGAACCAAAGATGGCTCTTCATTTTATTTCAAATACTTCATTGTGCTGGTTTCTGGAATTCTTGAGCGTGGCATTGGAGGGTTGTTGTCATTGTTTTACAGTTGGGCTCAGCTTCTGTACCAAATGGTTTCTCTCTAGATCCCATTCATGGAACTATCTTCAGGGTGGATAAAAAGTTGCAGATCCAAGCACATTTGCTAAGGAGTAAGATTCCAATCCTACACACCTATACCTGGGCATTTATGCCATTGAATTCAGTGTGCTTTACTTTGAGAAGATCTCTTTAGGACTTCACAGTAAGTTCAGAGTAATCCTGAGCATCTTTCCCCATTCACAGCTCTCTCTGTATGCCAGTTACCTTTATACCTGCCCTCCATAATTTCCTGCCCCTTCTCCCTCCACAGATCTGGTCCCAAGAACAGATGGTGTTTCCCACAACCAGTCAAGTTATTTTGGGCCTTAAGGCAGAAAAATAAACCCTACCTTTCTCCGTCCCTGGCAGGAAAATACAATAATAGTTTATCAATTAAATAACAAATAGTTTGGTGCTTTGCCATTACCTCCAAAATGGAAGGGATGAAAAAGACACCAGGGGACCTAAAATGGGCAAGTGTTTGTTTTTAAAGGACCCTATATGATAATGACACCTCTATTTGTGAAAAGAGGTTGCATGGCCAGAGAAGAAAAGGGCATTTGATTTTGTGGGAGAGGGAAACCCAGGCAAAAAATATTCAAGGGAAGTGAATTAATGTAGGCAAAAAGCCAGCTTATCCGGGGGACCAGATGAGACGGAGATTGTCAGGACTCCTTTACCATATTTGAGGTGCCATTTTTCCCCAGTTACAGGGACACCTACACCTTGACCTTGTTGTTCATTCTAGTCCTCTGTGAACCAAGGATTTGGGTCAGCTTGGGGAAGCAATGGAGGAAGGTCTTCTGATGGCTGAGCAGCCAATGTGCCTGCTCTTCCTCTTGCCTGGACCCTCATGCTTACAACGGCCCAAGGCACACATGCCATTGCCCAGGGGCAATTGGTTGGTGCGTCTCCACAGAGTCAGGCGCACTCCAAGAGAGCCAATGGTACTGTGGCATTGCCAGGCAGGTTTTGTACTGTGGAGTTAGTGAAAATAATGAGCAGACTGTGGAAGGAGAGCAGAAAGTCTCCTCTCCAGCTCCACTGTCCAATGCCTTCATGTGACACTGCCTATTGGTTTGCTAAGAGGATGAGTTCTAAGACCCCCTAGGAACTTCATGTTCAGAGCAAAGAAGCCAAAGACGAACGAAACTGCAGCAGCTCTGGGCACAGCTCAGAAGATCCAGGGGCAAGCCCAAGTGGGCCTACCTCAAACACCACTTATGCCTTCTAGGATGCAAACTTTTCATTTGAAGGGAGGAAAACAGTTACGGAAAAAATTACGTTTCGAATAGATCTGCATACATCAGTATGAATACTCATAAGGCATGGGCACCTTGAAGTATACAACCTACAGCAGTTGTAGGCAGCATCACCAGCGGTGAAGGATTATGGGAGTCCTAGAGCAAAATTTCTAGAGCAGAGTAGGCAACATGGCGCCCATGGGCACCACTGTGTGCTAGGACACTTTTCTTGGTGATTGTTGCAGTGCCTTACCTCTCCTACTTTTTAAAAAACAGCAACACGTCTAGCCAGCAGCCAGGATCACTTCAAAGCAACGCAAGTGCTTCCAGCTGCTTCCCTTTTGCAAAGATTCAGGGATTCTAGACTCAAGTGCAACATGGAACTCAGTACATTTGTCAAGATGGGTTTTTTCAAACCTATATCTGTATATACCAGCATTAATCAGAAGAACCAATCTGCAACTATGAATGCATGAAAAATATGCTTATTAGGCTTGGTCACACATTTCAGAAATTCCAGCAAAGAAGCCTTTAAGAAGTAGTGCTCACCATATCCCTCATTGCAGTCTTTCCCAACTAGCTGCACTCTTAATTTTTTGGACTACAGTTCCCAGCATTCTCCAGCCAGCATGAAGAAGGTCACTGTGACATGAATGCATATCCTGGTATGCAGCATTTCAGAAGCTGTACTGCATGACAACCTACTAACAGCAACAGTACTCCCACTGTATTTCCTGAGCATTCATACTCAAAACTTCCATCTCGCTTCTGCTTCTCTGCGTAATGATGCAAACAAAGTGTTAAGAAAGCTAGCCCTAGCCTTTATTCTGTACACCAGGGTAGGCAATAATTTATGCCTTCAGTCTGCCCAAACAAGGGCTTGTAATATACAATTTCCCTCCAGAAAATTACGAGTGTTTACCAGGCCTTGGTGTTCTAAAACCTACTTGTACTCACAAATCTTTGATCTTGTAGACAGGGAAAGGACGTGATTTTTAAAGAGCAGAATTACTGTAATTGGGAAGTAAAGAAGAAGCATTGCTGGTCTGATGATTAGAAATGGCTAAATCAAGGCTGATTTAGAGCTGTAATGGATCAAAGAAGGTAGGATTGGATTGAAAGGAGCAATTATAAGGACAGCATGGAAAAATACCCTGGCCTAAAGAGTAGGGACAAGGTCTTTTATTGGCTTGCACATTTATGTCCCATACTCAGTTTCTTTTGAAAGACAATATATTATGTAGTATAATTGGGGCACAAAGCCAAATGGAAAGCAGGACTCTTCTCAACACGACTGAAGTTCACAGGAATGACAGTCCCACAGTTGTCGTTTTGTCATCCTGCATAAACTGGCTTCAGGTAACTTGATTGTGTCTACACGGTTACTCAGCTACTTTCCACACTGGGGCTCCTGACCAGATTAGCCCAAAGGAGGGATGGACAAGACAATGACGTATGTGTGGGGAAAACAAAGTAGATGAAGGTAGAGGAGAACAACTCTATTGCTTGAGGTTTAGAGACTCATCCTGCTCTTGGCACCATAATGCACCTGCGCCCATCTGACCATGGAAGTTACACAAGGTCAGGCTATGTTAGTCCTTGGCTGGAGGCAACCTGGCAATGAGAATTGCTAGAACTTTGCTGTTGAGGGGAAGGGCTGTAGTTTTATGGCCAAGCTCTTGCCTTGCAGGCAGAAGGCACTGATTGATTCCGCCCAGAATCTCCAGGTAAAGCCGGGAAAGATTCCTGCCAAAAACAGAAAAGCTGCTGCCAGTCATGGGGACCATGTGGGCCCCCAGTTATTGTTAGACCACCGCTCCCATAATCTCTCACCATTGGCTATGCTGGCCAGGGCTGATGGGAAATACTGTGTAAGGGCACCTAGAAAAGCAGACATTCCCCTCCACTGGCATGAATAATACTGGCCTTGATGTGTTTTCCAAAGCCTCTCCTGTGCATCGGTCTGTGTTTCTCTGTGTGTTGAGAGCATGGATGGGTGCAGTGAAGGAGCACTATGAATGAACAATACATCGTATAACGTGTGCATATGAGAAGGAGTGAGGAGGTGATAACACCATTCACCACTACCCCACCATGTTTCTCTCTCACGTGGGACACTACCCTTAAGGTTTTTAAGAGAGGGTGGTGATGTACAGAAACAGAAAGACAGATGGCCCCATTCACTGCTGAAGCTACCCATTGAGGTCACAGGGGCAAGGAAAAGGTTGCCCAGCCCAGAACTACAACGTAGTGACCTGGTTCACATGATCACTGTGGGTTAAACATTCCATGGTGGGTTCTTTAAGCTATGGTGCCATGAACAATTTGCCTAATCACCTCCTGCATGCCATTTGTCTGGTCATCCAAACCCAGGCAGTACGGCTTACTGGAGGGGAAAACAACCCTCAGATAACCCTTAGATTGTTGTTAGGTAGGTGGTATAATGCATAACTTGGCAGAGAGCCACAGAATCCAGTTGAAAACCCTGTCACATACACTGGCCCCTTCACTCCCAAATAAAGCACCCCAGTTTACCTAGAAATGTCCATTATAATATTAGTTTTTACAAGATAGAATGTGTCAAATTTCCTCTGCAACAGTAAAGTCTAGAATACAACATGAAGCACCCTGAGGGCTCTCAACTGGTTTAGATCTGAAGCACAGTTTCAGCCATGCAGATGTTCAGATGCATCTGCCTTTCCAACAGTATTCAAATATTCCAAGAGCCTATTCTTAATTCTTCACAGAACATTTGATTTGTTTATTTTGATAAAACAAAGCTCATGACTGATAAAGACCAAACCAACTGAGAAATCTACAGTTACATTTAAATATTTATACATCGTTCTCATTGAATTAAATGTGAACGAAATGGGAATGCTTGATGTTAAATTTTAAAAGATCAAAGCCAAATATTATAACTTTGTATCACTCCGGGCAGGCTTTAAATTAGCAAACAGAGCTGCCAAATGGATCACAGTAATCCTCCATGATAATTATTCTTTGGGATTTGCAGTGTGTGGTTAGCATTATTAATTAACTTCAAGGGCTGCTGCAAACCAGAAGGCAAAACACAACACTTTCAAGACAGTCCTGCTGAAGTACAAAGGCAAATCATCAGACATCCTTCCTTCCATAAGTTCAGGATGTGAGGGCCATTCCTCAGCTGAGAGTCAGTCTCATGTGCTGGTTAGAGTCTTGGACTAGGGAGCTGGTAAAGCCAGGTTCTAGTCCCAGTTGGCCATGAAACTCAGTGGGTCAATTTGGGCCAGTCACTCATTCTCAGCCTAACCAACCTAACTCACAGCCAGGTTTCTTGTTATGAAGATAAAATGGAGCTATGTATGTATGTGGCCCTCCAGATGTTTTGGTTTACAATTTGCCCACCCCCAACTCGCTCTCTGTTAGGTGACTGCAATCTGTGGAATCTCGTATCTTTCTAATGAGTGCCCAAGATGTTCATTACAGGAATAATAACTTATAGAAAGCAGGCAGTCTCTTTCAAATTTTCATTTGAAACCAAGTAATAGACCTACCTCCAGAACCAGCCACAGTTGATCTCCATCCTTCACATCCTTTTTGTAGTACAGTCCATAAAACTTGACTACATTTGGATGATCAGAGAGAGCTTTCAGAATGTTGTATTCTGCTTCAATTTCCTCATCAATATCCTGGCATCCCACATTGAAAGAAAAAAAGCAGCAAGTTAAAAATAAATTGGCCTTTCCTCTGTGACTATATGCTTATTGACCACATATGAAGATATGGCAAAAATAAAAGAGAGAAGAAAAATTATGGCTCTTTCAATTATACATATTGATGGTCAGACAAAATGATTCTCAGAGGACAGAATCTGAAAGAACAGAACAAAACCCAGTGTTTGTGGTCTTGTCAGAAAATTAGGCTAGGCTTGGAAGAAGACCCTCTCTCTGTCCTACCAGCATGTGAAGCACATTTTGCAGGAACTTGAGAGAAGACCTTCTCAGTGTTTGTTCCTAGACTCTGGAATTCTCTGCCAGTGTCAAAGAAGGACATGCAACTGCATCTTTCTGTTTTTCTGCTGGGAGGCAAAGATGCTTTTCTTCAGACATGCTTTGGACTTTTAAGCTGGACTTGTTTGCTTAAGCAGCTTCTACATTGTATTTCTTCCTTATGGACATGCTTTTCCCTGGTATCATTTGGTGTTTCAGTGTTAATTTTGCATTTCATCTTGTAATCTGCTTTCATTAGTTGTCTTGAATACGATTTGGAGTGGAAATGCAGAATATTAGCTTTCTTGTAGGAAGAATTTATGATGTTAGAAAAACTTGAAGCACAAATGAAGACTTTTAATAAAAGTCGGAGACATGCTGTGTCTTCCAACACATCAGGAGGACATCAGGGTGGAGAAAACTGCTTTAGAAATCAGAGTGGAAGTTTCTATGTTTGTTTCCACTAGATGCTTTTGCAGGCATTCCAGCCTATAACATAATACGAAAAATTGTACTTTGTCTTTAATACTACTACCAATAATAATAATATCATGATTATGTATTAGATTTCTCAGATGCCTTTCTCCAAAGAGACTCAAAGCAACTTATGGCAAAGGTGTAACATCAGTCACTTTAAGCCTGTTATTCTACAATGCAAGCTGCTCTTTCAACTGGCTACAGAAAAAAAGGCTCCTGAATCTTTGCTAGCCTCGTATTCTTAGTTTTACAAAGAAATTCCCTTTTAATTTCACACACCTCTAATACTGTTTAAAAAACAAACAAGCAAACCAATAATCAAACATGCTTTTTAAAAGCAAACATCCAAGTGAATCAATTAATGTTCCATCAGAGACAAGGTAAACTGGTGTTAAAGATTTGATCATGGGCTAGTCTTTTCAGCTTGGCATTCCCTGAAGAAAGATGGACATTTTCAAGTGTTTTTTTTTGTTCATTGCAATGGCTCCCTCTGCAGCCACTCAGGACTCCTTCAGCTCAAACAGAAGGAAGCAGAATAATGTATGCAACCAGACTGCCTTCCACCAGCAGTGGCATCCTACTCACAGTCACGAAAGGAGAAGCTGCAGCCAAGCTGGCATCTCGACCACCTTTCTCAGGTTTGCAAGAACATGAGGCTTTTATGGCACAGCCTGGGAGGAGAGAGAGAGAAGCCTGTGGGGGACGGGGGACTAGCAGCAACTCTGAAACTTGCTGTGCAGTAGGGGTAGGGCACTGTTTGTGAAGATGAAGGCAAGACAGAGCTGAAGTTTCCTGATGCTGAATCTGATCCCATGGGACATTATGCTTGTAGATTAATCCCACAAAAAATTGGGATGCATGCAACAAAGTATGAGCATTTCAGAATTATAGAGGGATGCAGGCAGCCATAGGCCGGAGTGATCCTGCCCCTCTCTGCCCGCATAGCTGATAACAAGAACTGCACTACCTGTGTGAATTAGCGGTGTGTCTGATGGGGGGAGTGGGAGGGAAGCCCAACAGATATTCATCATTTGGCCTCCAGTATTCTGGTTTGCCAGCCTTGCACTGATGCCAGCTTGATGTGGCATGACTCAAGCCAGCTTGGACAGCTCTATAACAGGCCAAAATTTGTGTATTAAAAAAACCTGCTAATGAAAGTGTGCAATTTATGCCAATTGAAAGATGAAACTACATCATTTTAGTGCAATCTGCACTGGGACATGCAGAACTAGAACAGAAATCTAGTGGATTTGCATTTGCACAAATTATGCTAATCCAAGATTTGCATGAATTTCCTTATCTCGTTAATGTGCGAATTGCAGCTCATCTTAAATACAGAACCTCAAGGGCAAAAAACCCTAGCCTGGCCCACTTCTGATTATCAGACTGGAATGGGCAGGAGCTCCAGAGAGCCTGATTTCCCAGCACAGACACCTCCGCAGTGAGAACTGTGTAGTCTGAATAGCCCACTTCAAGGTGTTCATACAGAGATGCGTCAAAGAAAATGCAGCTGCCTCACGTGGCAGTACCAGCTGTTCTTCTTGAGCATTAGATGACCGAGAGGCATACAGAGGACACGGTTTCCTGTACCATGGTATGTTCCATTTACAGCCATTGTACCAAACTTTCCTTTGCCCCTCTCAGCTGCAAAGAACAGTCACTCTTTCTGTATTATTTCTGCATTTTTAACCCCTCCTTTTTACTTCTCTTGGCCTTGGGTTAGAGGTGATGTTTGCTCATTGTACCACTTCCTGCCCTGCGTTCTGCCACCGCCTCGCTTGTGATGAGGGCCTCATGCTGCTGGTGCTGAGCAGTCTGGGTTGCATGGCTGTGCTAGGAGCCATGTCTCTGCAAGAGGTCCGACCGGCCAGGTTCCACAGGGAAGCCAAATAAGCACCGTTCGGTGTCATAGGACGCTCTTCGTGATCCTGGGGCTGGAAGGCAGACAGGTTGACTATAAGTGGCTCCAACGAGGTCTAAGCCTTAAATCAGAGCTTGATTTTCCTTTAGCCCTGCTCCTCCACAGTGAATGATACTCTGTCTCTTAAAGGGGCCTGGCCTATTTCAGCAGCCTCATGATGTCCTTGTGGCTGGAGCCACTCGTGTCCTCATGGCTGGAGCCTTCAGAGTTGGAGACAGAAAGAAACCTTCTTTTGGATACAGGGAACTGACCCTCTGAAGCTTTCTGGGGGACCGATCCTGGTGCTGTGTGGACCTCATGACACCTTCCCATTGTCTGAGTCCTTTCTGTGACCCATAAGCCACAGAGCCTTTCCTTCTCACCTTCTTCCAAGAGAAGTGAATGGCCACAGTTCAGACAAGCACTGCTTGGCATTCCTCACTCGGAGGATTTCCCACTCAGAGAAAAGCATGGGATGCTCCTGTACAAGTGAATCTACATAGCAAAACTGTAATTTGATCTGCAAACCAAATCAATTTGCTTTTACCTGTTAAGAATCTAAAGCCTCCCTTGTTTTCCTATTGTTAGCAGAAAATACCTGAATCTTTAAGTATTTGAATTCAGATCACAAAAAACTTCAAACTGAGAGTTGTGGGGGAGCAATTTTTTTCTGTTCAGAGAGACTGCAAAACTGTTTTGATCCATTTAAATCCATTTCATTAAGATTGTAAATCTCAGGTCTGTGGATCACCAACATATTTGATAAGAAATGCAAGTAGATGAAGAAATGGGACATTCTTTGGAAACAGGGTGACACTTTCTAAATAAAAGTTGCTGTACATACACTTAAATGCACGGAAAAATAAAACTTATTGTGAAAAAAGTTGCCTATCTCAAAGAAGGCTTTCGATGAGATTGCGAGCAATTTCTGCATATTCCAAACCATAGTGCTGTAATAAAGCAAGGATAGTCTGCCTCAAAGTTGGCCACTTCAAGTGATGAAAAGAGAAATTCTGCTTACTGCCACCTGCAACTTCAGTAAAGCCAAAAGACCTTTGAAAAGCAGAGCTGGAAGCAACTGTAAATGTCACCGTAAGTGATATTAACAGCACAACTCTGTGCAAGTTGACTCAGCCCCACTTTTCCAATAGGACCTGCATCAAAGGTCTTTTGGAGCAGGACATGGTGCAGTGAAAAATGGATACTGTTCACACTCCGCTCAGGCCAGCAGTGGACACTGCTACATTTCTCAGGCTAGGCAAGCTTCACACAAATGACCCCAGGGTGCTGTGCGGGGCTGGGGAAGCCGCCTTCACCCAGATGAGCACAAGAAGCTCTTGGGGGCCGAATTTCAGTGATGGCTGAAGCTGCCACCAGAGAAATGGAGCCAAAAGCAAAGGGGGTGCAGCCCAAGTATATCACATGGCAGCAGTTTTAGTCTAAAGTTCTTACTGATGGTAAGAAAGCCTTCAGAAAGTCCTTGCAAACTTTCAGAGTACGGGGGATACAGAAAAACTAGGAAACCACCAATAGTGGTTGGGGGGGGATGGGGGGACAAGGAAAGGGGGTGTGCCCTCTGGGGAACCCCAGGGGGTCAGTTTGGGAGCCCAGGAGAGCTGTAATTGGCCTTCCCTACCCTGGAGTACTGGCGGGTCCTCCCACAATTTCCCTTTTCCCATCATAGTCTATACTGAAGTAAAGTATGGCATGCATTAAATTGATACATAACTTTGCCACCCCTTTGATTCCTCAGACTTTTTTTTGGAGCTGCTACTGACAAACTAGTCCTTCCCCATCCTGTTGAGGAAGGTTTCTTTAAGGTATATTGACAGTCACTTTTAAAATCTTCAATAGCTTCCAAAAGAAACTTTGTTTCAAATGGATCTTTCAAACAGTTATCAAATCTGACCTCATGTAAAGGCATTCAGACAGCCGAGATTTCTGCAGCTTGATGCTCTCTGTTGCTTTCTATTTATTTATTTTACTTATCTTAATATTGATATTTTGCCCCATTCTCATAGGGTTTACGCTTCAACCTGCAGCCTTCTTATTGACTGTGCTAGCTGGGGCTAGTGGGAATTGATGGCCAAAACATCTGGAGGACCCCAGGTATTTATTTATTATTTATTAGAGTATTTGCATGCTTTCCCTTCGCATAGCATCGGGACGGAGGGGAAAGTTGTAATACACTGCCATGCATGTCCATTTGACCTACAGCCATGCATATTTGGATGCAACTGTGGATATTCCTAAATTGCACATCTAGGGAGATATGGGCCTGTATGCATATAACAATATGGGAACCCATGAATAACCCATGATTTGGTGGGTTCTGTGCCACGCATCAACCACGTCTGCTTTGCACTATTCATGTCTGATTGGACCAACTGTAGGTTGTGGAATGATGTGTGAACCCAAACATTGTGAGTTGTTCGTGGGTTGAAGAACCCAAAGTTAATCTAAAAACTAATCATAGGTCAAACCTGACTCAAACTGTCCTGGTTTACTTGTCTGATTGACTCTTACAATTGGGTCAATCAGAGGTTGATCATGCAAAGCAGAAGCAGCCTGTGCATAACATATAATCTGCCACATTTTGCTCCCATCGCATGAAAACCAGTTCCATATAATATTCAGTGTTGATTCCAGGGGTTTTCCTGAGGGTGGGCAGGCTTTAAAAATATGCCCTCAGCAGGAGCTGTACTGCTCTACCACCAGTGTCCATTCTTTGCTCCCCCTCTTTGGGCTCAAGCTGCCCAGCTGCCAGAAGGAGAGAGCGAGATGACCACCCCTGCTGTGCTCTCACAACCAGTGCCCATGCACTCAAAGGCAACACATAAACCGGAAGTGGAAGCAGCCATTAGCAAATGTAGGGCCAGGGAGCGCCAGGGGCTGGAAGCACTCCCTATTCCCAGAGTGCTGTGGTACAGTCCTTCACAAAGCGCCCAGCAATGCCATCCCTTCGTGTCTGGCCTGCACGTGGTCTTGACTCAGCAGGACAGCCAGCACATCGAAGGCTGGTGCCAGCATCTCCTAACAACGGCTCTGGAACCATGTCAGTATGTGGAAGGATCAGGGCGACCACCTCAAAATCTAAAGCACTGAACAAACCCAGTGACACATGTCTTATATACTGCCATTTTTTGCACGAAAATACTGTCTCGTTGATACCTGGCTGGATCAAATCATAGCGAAAAGTTCAGAGAATACACAGCAATTAATTTAGAAGTAGCTTACATGAACTGGATCCAAGATTTTGACTGCTGCTTTGCTCCCATTTTTCTTGTTGAATACCTTAAATACTTTGCCATACGTTCCTTTGCCAATCGTTTCAATTATTTCCCAGGTATCCGAAGGATCAGGAAAGCTATCGAATATTATCGTTTTCCCAGTTATGGGCAACATCTCAAATACTGAATCCTGGAATAGAAAAAACATTTCTGCACTGAAACCATCATGCTTAATAAACCTGCATCTAATTACAGATGAAACTGGACATGCAACTTGGAAAGTTTATATGGCAATAGCAAGAAAACTGAACATAGCAAGCATAGAAAAATGAGTTAAGACAGCCTTCCCCAACCTAGGACCCTCCAACCGTGTTTTGCTGTATCTTCCATTTTATCCCTACCAACATCTGGAAGGCATCAGCTGCAGAAGGCTGGGTTAAAAGATTGCATTCACTCACTCACAGACATTGCCTGTCTGTCTCCACCTTGATTTCTTCCTCATAGTCTCATTTTATGTTTTAAGCAAGGTCTTTAGCAGGACCTGTTTGTTTTTTGCATATGGCAATTTGTAAAATAAATAAAAGCCCATATATAGCAATGGTACTGAATGAGTAACTTATAATTGGATGCAGGGAAGTCTGCTTTTCATTTAGGATGTTTTCAGACCACCCCAAGTAATTTTGCGAAACCTGAAAGATCTGGGGAGGAAGACAAGTCATCCTGCATCTTCCTGAGGATGTAAAGGCCACAGGATTGGTTCGTACATCAGGCCTATTATGTGTACACCAAAAGATTTGCTAGAGTTCCTGCATAGGGGTAGGCAGCCTAGCATTCTCCAGTTGCTTTGGACTACAACTCCCAGAAGCCCCAGTCATCATGGCTAGTGATCAGGGACAATGGATGTTGTAGTTCAAAACTGCTGGAGCGGGTTCTCTCTCCCTGCTGTTTGGCAACCCCATGCTGGCCGCCATACTGTGTATGGAAGGTTTCTTAAGGCAGCCAACATGTACCCCAAAAGGATACGGATGTGTCCCAAGTGCTTCCCAGCTGCAAAAGATGCTACAGCAGTGTCAACTGCTCTTCCTGCAGTCCTCATTCCAGTTTCTTCATCCACTGCCTCCTCCTGCCAGCTGCTGCAGTGAGGCAACAGAGGAGGAAGGGTGATGGCACCGGGGAGGGAGGAGACCAGTGGAAAAACAAGCTGCAGCCTAAGTTTTGCTCCTGCACAGCTTTTTGCATCCTTGCATCCTCTGGGGTGAATGTGGCAACCCCAGAAAACCTCCTCTTCATAACATAGATTTAATAGTTATCCCAAAGAATTCCATCTTGCAGCCAACCAAGGAAATGGCAATATCCCTTGCTTCCCAGAGCTGCCTGGTCAACTTATTTCCAGGAAAGTAACTTCAGGATAATGTTAGGAAAATGTTTAATATCCCTACTCATTTCCAGAACTCTATACTTTTGACATCAGGCTAAAGTGTTTTTTTAATTTCCTCAGTATTTTAACTGTGGAAATTTTGCATTATAGCTTATTTTTCATTTGTACATGGTAGGCATGTCATGAATGGAGCTGGCTGAAGCCGAGGGTCAGACTAGATGGCCCAGGAGCCTTCTTCTGACTCACTCTGTTTCTGTTTCACAAAACACCTGGTAGCCATTCATGACAAGAAATCCATACAGGTGAGTGAATGGGATGGGAAAGAAAGAATGAATCTTTCTTCCATGAGTCCACTTGGTTTCCACAGAGGAAGGAAAGCCCATTACTCTCTGCAGATAGCCTTTAAAAGTTAGTATTATGCAAGGCTAGCCGCCTGCATTTCCATGTTGGCCATAGCAGGGTGGGTCATAGCCAGCTAGTAAAACGTGGGGAGGGAAGAAAGCTGATTCACTTTGTAGGCTTATCTACAAGGCTGCTCCAAAAAAATCCAGTGTAAGAAGTGGGGCATTTGACATATGGATTCCTCATGCATGTACAAGTAAGAGCTAAGTGCTAGTAATCACGTAACGAAGCCCAGTCCTTCTCATCATGATGGCATTCAATTAAAAATAGGCTATAAGTAATAAAGAGCAATTTTTCAACAAGTGGATGGTGAATCAATATGTTTGTGAAGTGGAAGCTGAATCCCAAAGTTTAAGCACCTTTTAATTTTCGTATTACAAGCCAACAAACATTTACAGTGTCATAAAAATCAATTCAGCATTACATTTTCTCAAGTCTGTTTGTCAGAACTGATGGCAAGAAAGCATGAGTGCTCCAAGAACTGGGTTACCTGTAACCCAAGAATCACTTGCTTTGTCTGTTACTGATCTCTAAGTTAGAAATTAAGGCAGCAGATCAGATAACATACTCTAGTAAAGGAAAAGCTCCTAGCTTGTACCCTAGCAGCCCCCGATCTCCTGTTCTCTCCCTGAAGTGTCCTTTCACTCCTCTCTGAGGCTGATTTCCCAAGCTCCAAGTGGCAGCTGGTGTGATTCTTGCTAGGCAAGGAGGGGGGTTGGAGCACAGATCCAAGCTGATAAAGTTGCATCTGACCTTAGCTATGGGAACCCTATGGCACAGATGCTGTCCAAAGGCTATAGGACTGCTTTCTTAATGTATTTCATATGCAACATGGTGCACTTGATTGTACACCCACAGGCTTTGCAAAGCTTTCATCTATGGAAATTTTATTATTTTTACGTACACTTCTATACCACATTTAGCTGAAACTGTCTGGGCAGGATATAAAAACAAAATAAAACAATACATAAAGCAGCATTTAAAACATTTTAAAAATAAAATTGCATTAAATTACAATAAATATTTGCATCAAAAACCCCTGTGGTCTCTACTTTTAAGCAGACCTTAGTACTAAGTAGAACTTAGCAAGGACTTCAAACTGGGCTTAAAGTTATATGGAAAATCACACTTTTTCCCAAGCTGGGAGTACTGCTTACATTGTACAGCATTATTCAGTCAATCAAATATGCAACATGTGATTTTAGCAGTCCAGAGGCAAAAGTGGACCCCCCTCTATTAAATGAAATCCCTGATATCTTTCATGTTGTAGCCTATTTTTGCAGATTAGCACTAAAGTTAAAGAAACAAAACATGCACAGTAGGAGTTTTGCAAATTGAGGAGTTAGGAAGTGAATAATCCTGTTGGATTTACAACTAGTAATCTCATGGCAATTGCACATGGTGAGGACTCATTAACATGCCAGCAGAGTTAAGACACTAGAAATGCAGACTCTAGGCGCAGCCCCTTGCTGGGCCCTGTATACCTATGGAGGTATGCTCAGTGTGGAAGTGGACTGGTGATCAAATTAAGGGGGTTGCCCATTCGTTGCTGAATAGGCATTTAAAACTGCTCAGTTTGATCCTTCCCTCCTCACAAGGATGTGAGCCATCTTGCTACTGTCTCCATCAAACTTTATGGATCTTTGTGGCTGTCCGAACCCACGTGAGTTTCCCTGCCCCACCAAACATTTGCGACTAGTGCGCCATAATTCTGCATGGTAGCAGGTACTTACAGTACACTCCTATGCATGCCTAGTCGAAGTAAGCCTCGCTGAACAAAATAGGTCCTACATCCAGGTAAATAGGTGCAAGATGGTACGTTTAGAAGCAAATCTCTGTGTGTCTTGCACACAAGGCTTAATTCGCTACTCCGTTTTGGACCTCGGTTTAAGGCCAGCAATTCCGTTTATTTGGAGAGCAGACATCAATGCCACTCGCTTACGATAGGGAAAGCCCCACTTGAGCATGCCAGGACTTCTTTCTGAGTAAACATGCTCAAATCCGATTGCACAAATCCGATAATAATCAAAGGATTTAAAAAGTGCGCGGCGGGTCCCTCCTAGCTTTTAGAATTCCCGCGCTCCTTTCAACCCGAGCCCATCCGGATTCATCCTTCATCCAGAGAAGGACGGATGTTTCTAAGCGAGCCAGCCTGCTTTGAATTTGTTGATTTCCAAAGCCCCGACGGAGCTTTTTCGCCCTCGTACGAGTCGGTGGAAACGAATTTAGGGAGTACGAAACTTTCCCGGAGGGGAAGGGTTCACACACACAAACGCACGTCCCTACCAGCGCACGATACTCCTAATCCACTGGGCACGTTTACACCAGGGAGCCGGTGCAGTACAGTGATCAGAGTGTTAAACCAGCATTAACTGGACCCGGGTTCTAGTGTTCTTGTGTTGAACTTTGGAGCAGTCTCTGACTCTCAGCCTATCCTACCTCACAGAGCTGCTGCGAGTATCAGATGGAAAGATGGATATGTAAGCCGCCTTGGGTTCTTTGCAGCAAAAAGGCGGAATATAATACATAAGAAGCGCGCATCCACAAAGTGCACCTGAGCGAAATGAAAGGCGTTCGGGTCTGCAGGCAACCCGCATTCATGAAGCGTGAGGCTTTATCCAGGTAGCCCGGGCGGCCAGCAGCATCCAGCGAGGGCAGCCGCCACCTGTTCTCCCGAAGCCGGGCTGATGCGCCTCAGCCCTTCAACAGGGGGCGCTTCTCACCCCCGCCCCGCCCCGCTGTTGAATGGCTGAGGCGCATCAGAGCAGACAGGGGGCGCTTCTCACCCCGCTCCCGAGAAGGCGGCCCTCCCCTCCCCCGCGGGGCGCAGCGCGCGGACGCCTCCTTGCCCCCCTCTGCGCGCGGGCGGCGGAGCGAGGCTTACCGTGGCCGCGGCGGGGGCTGCCTGCGCGTCGCGGCGCGGGCGGGGCGCGGGGCTGGTCGCGGCCGGCTCTGCGCGCGTGTCCCGCGGGGCCCTCCCGGCCCATGCAGCGGCGCCTGCCCGGCACGCCCCGGGCGGGGGGCGCCTCCGGAGGGCTCGTGGCAGCTCCCGTGCGGCGTGCGGCGTGCGGCGAGGATCGGGTCGCGGCGGCCTCCCACCCTCTTCCCGCAGGTGCCCGCGCAGCCCTCGGGTCAGTGGACGGGCAGCGCTTTACCCCGCCCCCCACGCAGGCTCCTTCCCAGGCATCCGGGGCGAGGACACGGCCGCCTCCTGCGTCAGAAAGCAGGCAACAGATTGCCCCGCTCCGCCAGGAAGCGGCGCCCCTGGCTCCCGGGGGCCCGCGCACCCACCTGGCGCTGGCGGGGCGGGCGAGCGGCTTTGCCTGAGCGGCGCCTCCGGCTCCTCCCCGCGCGGCTGCTTGTTTCTTCGGGCACGAGCGGCAGGTGCGGCTGCG